TCTCTCTCTCTCTCTCTTTCTGTGTCACTTTCTTTCACTCTCTTTTTTTTTTTCTCTCTCTCTCTCTCTCTCTCTCTCTCTGTCTCTCCCTCTCCCCTCTCTGTTTGCCTCTGTCTCCGTCTCTGTCTCCGTTGCGGTATTTGTCGGCAGCTGTCTCTGTCTCTTTCCCTATGTCGGCTATAAGGTTGTGGGGGAGCATCGCTCTCCCACCCTCGTGTACGACGGGGGCCGGGACTTTGGGCGTCCCGGCAGCATCCTTCGCAAGAAGGGGGCTGACCGCCCGGGTGTGGGGAACGAGGGAGTCAGCGAGACAGAGTCCAGCAAGCGTAGAGTCGCACCAAAGCGGAAACATTTCCGGAGGACCGAGAGCTTTTGGTTCACAGTAAGAAAAGCCAGAGTTGTTAGAAAGAGCACAAGCAGAGGCACGAGCACGATACCACCCTGCAGTTTCCTTTCACCCCCTACGAGAGCTTTTGGTTCACGGTAAGAAAAACAAGAGTTGCTAGAAAGAGCACTAGCAGAGGCATGCGCGCGATAATCTGGTGCACAAAACCACCCTGGGTAGCTCCATTTCACCCCCCACGAGAGCTTTTGGTTCACAATCAGAAAAACAAGAGTTGTTAGACAGAGCACAAGCAGAGGCATGAGCACGAGAAGCTAGTGCACAAAACCCCTGAGCAGTTCCATGTCACCCCCTACCTTGGAGTCAGCGCATCGCGCAGCCGCTGCAGCGAAGTTTGCACGCAACAGTTCCACGTCACCATGGGGTGCTAAGTTGCCTGCTTTCGCTGTCACCACCGGTTGCCGGAGACAGTAGCCATGGCGAGCGCACCAACGTTCACATTGGTGCTGTCGGACTCGACGGGCTATGGGTGGCTTCCTGGTGGAAACCTCGGAGGGACACAGGCCTCGCACCGCGCCGACCTCTGGCGCTACGCCTCCACGCGCAAGGTGGATACTACATGGACATCAAGATGTGCTTGCTGCGGCCGCTGGAAGACACTCTCCGGGAGATCTAGGAGGGCGACCGCTTGGTGGCAGCCGCGAAGACCGTCGCGTCGCGCAGCCTTCAGACGGGGGAGGTCAGCGCATCGCGCAGCCGCCGAGCCGGCTCCAGATGAATGCAATGAAAACCCATGAAGTTGTAGCAGCTTTCAACATGGACCACCGACACTTTGCCAGACTAGTGGCATAAAACCGCCCAACTATGTAGCCAGTCATTTTGCAAACCTGTTGCTGGACCTGCTTCCAAATTATCAGGACTAAATGGCATGTCAAACGCGACACGCGGTCTAGGAGCTGAGACATTTTCTGATTACAATAGATTAGAGTAGTCGGCACGTTTCACCATTTTTTACCGCCCGCCGCTGGCGCGACTCGCGTGGCAGGCACAGTTCTTGAAATAAGTTGGAGGGACCGGGTTTCCTTCCTCGGGTGGACGAGGTCGCGTTTGTTCACCTCTGTTTTCTCCAGGGCAGGCGCGGGGGGTAAGTATGGACTACGTTTGATAATGGCATTTCAACCGTGGGATATAGATGTATCAAGTGACGTGAGCGGATGTCAAGATTAGCACGAGTGACACTTTATAGAGCGTGCATCCGAGACGGTGATATGTTGGTATGCAAATCTTGCAAGAACCTTGAACCTGGCGAAGCGAGACGAATTGATACAGGATGCCTCAATGTTGAGTGATTACTTCTAGACTGCAATCAGATGGAAGCAGCTCACATGGTTTTCACACGACATATTTGTCCACATGGTGCAACACGCCAAAGTCGCTACGAGAGGTGGCGAAGCAGGTCAGCGGCCAGGAAGCGCTCAGTGTCTTCTTTGTGCTGGACTTTCTCTACCGAGATTTTCCAAAAGATGTATCACTGGCTGTGGTAACTTGGATACACTCGGGTGAAGCGCACTTTGCGTGCCACACGTGAGTGTGTATGGCAAGATGCTAAGAAGACACGCAGTGTCTTCCTCCTGCATCCTCCTTTCCATTTCGTTCCATCTGGTTTTAAGGGCATGGTCTTCTGTGGTTTATTTTGCCAGATGCATCGTGTGTAAAGAAGGTGTCACCGGCAGATAGCACAGCATCGTACTGGG